ATTGCGATTGTTTATGTCCCATCCCTATGAGCAAAAGTTCCGACTAACGCAGAAGCAATTCATTTAATATTTTTTCACAATTTTTTCTAAATAATAAACTAATAAATAAATAGAAATTCTTGTTTAGGTTAATTGAGAAAGATTAGTGATTGATATTTTGGAAGGATGAAAACACACAAAAGTAATTGATATTTACAACTCAATATTTTTATTCATAGAAAGTTAGAATCATAAAACGAAACGTTTTATCTGTCTAAATCACCATCATAAGTTGAATGAACTATAGTTTAGAAATAATCGAGTGAGATCACTTATCGTTTCCACCCTGTATAGACACCATCTTGTAATTTTTTATTTATAAATTAATTGATAATATACTTGCTTGGATATTTGCTGTCAATCAGTTGCATTATCTGCACATAGGGTTGAGGGTCCAACCTGTCATCCCTTGTTGGTTTTTCTTCAATGAAAATTGGCTTGTAATTCAATTCTATGGGGAACAGTCTGCCTGGGACCTGAGGAAAATAAGTTAACCTTTTTATAAACTTTTTAAAAAAAATCTCAATAGGATCATCCATAAAAATACAACTATGCACATGTACAGGATTTATATTATGGAATATGTAGTTTTAATATAACAGTTTAGAGGAAGACCCATCAAGCTTTAAATACTGTAGTATGTGCCGTTGTGTAGTTGACTTATATGTTCTTGCCTGAACGAGCTTTACAAAGGACATACACTCATTCTGTGGCTCTATTTAATTCACAACTAGGTATAGCCAAGTGAGCTTTACATGTGTGGTGGCTCGCTACTGATCATTTTCAATAGACATTACGCTACTGATCATTTTCAAAAGTTTTGATAGACATTACACAATCATTATGTGCATGTATACGAACACACAAGTAAAGCTCACTCGCCATCGTGAGTTACAAGAACTATAATTGGAGTGATAGTTATCACATTTACATCTCATTTAAAAAAAAGTAACATACCAACCTGTATTACTACGGCAGATTCAGCGGAAAAATAGCTCTCAAAGAGTTCAATATTTATCGTCGCAGACATAAGCACCAACTTGATGTCAGTCCTCGTGTGTATGAGGCATTTTAGCACTCCCAGCAAGAAGTCTCCCATGAGGTGCCTCTCGTGGATCTCGTCTAGAATGATGACGTCATAGTTCGGCATATTTTCAGATGACATCTGTAAATAGAGAAATATACATAGAGACAAGTATTTTGAAGTTTTGACTTAGTGGAGCAAGAGATTGAGCATTTGAACACATTTGAATGAGTAAAGTAAGTAGGTTGATGTCATATATCATAAGGACAACCAACTTCTTCAAAACAGAACAATTGACATGATTTCAGTTCTATGAACTACTAGCGGCCGCCCGCGACTTCGTACGCGTGGATCCCGTTTTACCCTCTTAGGGGTAGAGTTTCGTAAAATCCTTTCTTAGTGAGCACCTACATTCTAAAAGGAACCCCCATGCAAAATTTGAGACTCCTAGCACTTGTAGTTTCTGAGATTTTGCGATGAGTGAGTCAGGCAGTCAGTCAATCAGTGACCTTTGGCTTTTATAAATATAAGTTAGAAACTTACCTGCCTCAACAACAATCCCTCAGTAATGAAACAAATCTTGGTGTCAGCTGTTTTGCTCTTCTCAAACCGTATTTGGTAGCCAACTTTACTCTCGAACTGAGTGAGCGTTTCATACGCCACTCTTTTTGATAGCGACACACAAGCAATTCGTCTTGGTTGAGTGCAAGCTGAAAAAATATTACAATTAATTGCTATTAAAATTTCTTAGCGATTAGTCGCTTCTCAAATTAAATTTTAAATAAACAACTTGAAAAAATTGATCTTTCCGGGCAACTGCTCTTACCAAGCCTGGCAAGCGATAGGTCATGGGTTCGATTTCCTTAGGCAGTTCGATTTTTTCAAGTTGATTATTTAAAATTACAATTAATATTTACCGAGAGCACATTTAGTAGTTTAATGTACTTATTATTATTCTGTGGTTTAATCTTCAAAGAAATAGAATAGACTTCAACTATTATTTTTCCAAGCACTATTTTAATAATTCTTGTGACTGTGCTTATAAGAAAATTAAATTGCAAGCAGGATGGCAGGATAAGAACATAAGGCTGCATTATCTTACTTTAACCGTAACTATAACCATAACAAGTGTTTTTTGTATGGAGTTTAACAGACTTGACGATTGTTAAAGTTAAGGTAAGATGGTGCAACCCAGCCTAATGTATACTTACCAATGTTTTGAAAGCCAGCTTCATGTAAATACTGCGGCACTTGAGTTGACTTCCCACATCCTGTGTCTCCAGCCACCACCACCACTCTTTCATTCTGAACTGCGGAGACTATTTCATTTCTGTGAATAAAAAAACACCATAATTAAATAATATTGTTTTTAAGATCTTTTGATAAGTTATACTAAGGTTTGTAAGCTTAACTGGCCACATGCAACTCTAGTATGAAAAAAATACCTAAAGTATTCTTTTCATCAAAAAAGTAGCTATACTTGGAGATAAGATTAAACTTTGTTTCTTCTGTTTTAATATAATATGAGCAACTTTTGATACCTGAATTTGGCCACTGGTAATTCTTGCTGTGCTTTCCTCAGCTTCTTAAGCTTATCAAACTTTTCCTTGTTTTTAAAATCTATGTATATTGATACAATATTTAAAAATGCATCAAATATTTGTTTATTCAACCTTTTCCTATCACGATCATCATTTACAGTATCAAAATACTTTATATTTGTTTTAAAATTAATACAATGGAACTTTGAAAAGGATATGGGTGCACCAATTTCGTTTATTTCAACGTTTTCATCCTCACAAACAAAAATAGGTTTGCCATTTTTCTTCAGAGTAGCTTCATATTTGGTCACAAAAATCCAGAAATCATTGAGACTATTAGCTACAGTATTAGTTCCACTGCTGTATTGTATTATTTTATTTAATTCTCTCTTGTAATCAAGAAAACTGAAGTCTGCTTGTTGTGCCGAAGAAGATGGACAGGTTTTTCTGACTTTAATTTTATTTCTTTCCCGGGAATGAGAACGTCTCCGTTTATATCTATCTCGTCGAGGGCTTGGACTTCTCCCCATTCCTCTAAAACTCAATTAATGAGCATAAATTAAACATAAATTCACAATTTCTTCAATCAAAAGGCACACGAAGTAAACAACGTTTCGAAGTTGACAACTTGACAGTGACAGTTGACAATTTATTGACACTTGACATTTTTGACAACTTCATTTTTTTTTAAGAAAGTTTTACGGCCCTGGGCACAATTTTTAAAAAATCAGTTTAAAGTTGAATAAAGGTCATAGCACACTTAATAACATGGAAAGGGATCGTAACCGTATCGCCTCTCGCTTAAAGCCTTAGCCTAGGCACAGACTACCGATTTTTATCATAGTTGGCCGATAGCTGGGTCGGGCTTTTGATCAGTATGAACATGACTGTATGGAAGTGCGCACACAGCACACTATATTGGAAATCGATCCACCAACTAGTATCGCCCAACCAAAAAGTTAGTGGTCTGCCCCTAGGCTTACAACTAGGCTAAGTGTCAACCTAAAGGGGGTCTTTAACTAGCGCGCGTTTTGCCCTACACAAGCATTCAACAAAATTGCCTACAAAAAATGTTGAATGTTGACATGTTTTTGTTGATTGTGTAGGGCAAAATACGCACTGGAGACTGGAGATCGGGCTTATCGTAAGCACGTAACGTACAAATCGGCTGTACACTCTCGCCGAGAGCCAATGGACAGGCTGAGTGCGAGGGAGGTTGTTCAGGGGAGCTCAGCGACCTTTCAGGATGTCTCGCTATCGCTTGCTCGCTCATTGCTCCCGTGTTAGCACATGGGGCTGTCAATAACGAGAGTGTACAGCTAGCCTAAAAACGATTCAGCCCCCCTAGACAAAACGCACTTTTTGATCGAATCGAAAATGGAATCCGTCAAAACTCCATACAAACAAGGGGCTTTTCGACCACTTTTCGACTGGTTTGCGATTATAATTTGCACTTTGTCTAGACCCACAGCAGCGCCTGTTTGTCACCTCGGCTATACGAATAGGCGCCACGGCACGCAGGGCCGGATTTAGAAATCGGAGGGCCATCGAGGCAAGAAAGGAGTGGAGGCCAGGGCCAGTCATCTGAATAAAAATAAAATGGATAATTGATTATTTTCATGTTTTACAAAGTATTGGAAATAAAAGTAAAACGCGAAAAAAATATCAAAGGAAAAGTAGTTTTCTAGTCTGAACTATTTTTTTTTTCTGAAGTCTATTGTGAGGGCCTCTCTTTTGTAAAGGCCCAGGTAGGGTTGCCAGGTCCAAAGACACAAAAGCCGGACTATGCTTCATTTGGCCAGACATTTTACCCTAAAAGTCGGACATGTCATTGGGGTTCATATCAAATAGTGTCATAGCTCACGAGTGAGTACTATATCATCATCAGTTGCCTAACATCTTGATGCGTGCGCTTGATATTATTCTGTAGCTCGACTTTCGCCTGGCGCACCGGCTAAGACCCAGGGGCTGTTGTTGCCTCGGTTGCCCTCCCCTAAACCCAGTCCTGGACGAGTGTATAGCCAGCCGGCATAAACTTATTCCTAGGCGAGGCTATACATAATGTATAGGCGTTACTAACTTGCTATTCCAAGAAGACTGAACTACTCGAGTCTCGCTCGACTATGCGTAGACCACCGATTTTTAGTCGGTAATTTGTATGAAGAATCAATCAGTAATGTGCGCACTTTCATACATGCCCATCCATACTGATTAACTGTCCGACTAAACTATCGGTTGACAAAAAATCGGTGGTCTGCGCCTAGGCTTACAGTTTACGATCCCTTTTTAAAGTAGTAAGTGAGTGTGCGTAGTCCTTTATAAATTTAATTTAAAAAAATAAGCTAATAACGCCCTCTATGCAAGTTGTCAGAAATCATTAAAATAATTTCCGCCATTGCGTTCCGCCATTTTGCTTGGTCGTGCAGTGAACGTAAAAATTAAGCCCATGTATTTTAACGTGGATAACTGTTATTTAGTTTAGAATTAGTGTTTTTGTACACTAATGGCTTGCTTAAATACACTTAAGCTAGAAATCAAGACTTTAGAACAAGTGTTTCCAAAAAATCATGAACGGTTTCAGATAATGTCTGCTAGTGTCGACGAACTGACCTGCAGATTCGTTGGCAGAAATGGAAAGAAATATGAAATTCATGCAAATATTACTGTAAGTACCATTTATTACTATAAAACAGAGATATATCATAATTTTCTATCATAAGGGTATGTTTATTGATTATCTTTAGGTGGGACAAAGGGTCGTTGTTTATGAGGGCAGGGCTGTCAATAGAGGTTTACGGAAGTTAATTTTCTTTTCCCTGTTCAGCTAGGTATGCACTCTGCTCGTTTATAGCTAAAGGAATGGTAGATAAACAAGTTTGCATTTATGAAAACTGCAATCGATGTAAAACTGCATTGAATGTAAACGTCAATACTAGACCATCTGTTATCATTATAATTTACGCATACAAGGCACACACGAATTCAATCGATCATTATGTTTCGTATTGGCGAATCTGGGGTATTCGCCGCATTACAGCTATGTTTTGTACTGACTAACATCTGTTTTGTTTGGATAACGGTATGCGACCGCGTTTTTGGGACAAAGACGCAACTTAGTCATCATCTACCTGTTTTTTGTTGTGTAGACATTTTGATGGTCCCCCAACACTGCATTTTTTGTCATACAGTGACAAAGTCTGGTATTGGCTTTCTTGGAACTGATCCATGCAATTTAATGCTCAGTAATGTAATCAAATATTTATGTAAACACATTACTAATCATGTTTGTTTACTATATTGATTATTTAGTATCTACCTGTGTTCAAGTAACATTTTTTTCTAATGTGAATCTTGTTAATTAGCAAACTGTTATTAGTTCCAATTTGATTTTGAGTGATTTCATTTAGATTTTTAAATATTAAATTAAACTTTATTATTTTAAGAAGATACCAAATAGATTACTATTAGACGAGTTAAAATGTTCTCAATGAATGGAAGTGTAATACGATGACTGTATCATTTTATAAAAGTGACTAAGATGCCAGGATTAACTGTAAATCAGTAGATGATTCAAGATTTCTTGATTATTTCAGAAACAACACATGATGAGTGAATCCTTTTTTATTTACCTGGCATTATGGCTTAGCTTAGAGTTTCAGTTTTCATTTGAGTGTTATTTTTTCTATTGTTCTCATAGGAGACATACCCAAACACACCGCCAGTATGGTTCGCCGACAGCGAAGACCCCATTGTGACAAACGCAGTGCAGATTCTCACTAACACACAAGGCAGGGACAATCACGTCATAAATCAGGTAAAGCATTCCATTCTTTAACGGTTTACGTATTTTAAAAGAATTTTGGACCTTATTTTCAGTGCTGAGAACATTCAAGATGATGTAATTCTTAAGAATCTTATGAAAGCTTTTGTAAAGATGCTCCACTTTTACAGTGCACATCAAAGGTATTTTTTAACGTCAAACGAATAATGAAGAAAAACAAATCTTACAAAATCAAATGTTATAATTTCAGTATCTGATTGTACTCATACTACAATTACCAGACACTGAACCTAATTTACGTTATCTGTACTTATGAAATGTGATTTCAAGAGTGCATTGTCTTTAATTGAAAGTATAGTGTAATAAGATTAATACAATCAAGAATGTTATTGTTGTATTTATATAGATAATATAAATCAATAATAATAAGCATTACCTACTGTCATTAAAGTCATTGTTATTTATAGGTTGGAATATTGTTGAGGGAGCTATGCAAGTTACACGGTGTACCTGAGCCCCCGGACTTAGACTCCTTGTCGCTACCGCTACACCCTGCCCCACAACAAAGGTAATTTCTATGATATTGCTTCTTACACCGCTCACTTATTTTATTCGTCTTTGTTAGATTGTCTACACATTATCTCCTTTCCCATGTGCAATATCTACCTACTTAGTTGTTATAACCCACAAGATAGTTGACTGATTCATGTTAGCTAAATAGAAGAATCTAGGCACCAGCCTGTCCTGAAATGTATAACGTATAAGAGCCCTGGAAAGGGCTTAAATAGTGATTAAATGATTTGGTTTGACAGGTTTTAAGTGCTACAATTCTAAGTCTTCTAGGACCCATTATTTTCTTTAGTTTTCTATCCTACTAGGAGTCTTTAAGTCTAAATTTTAAAATGCTGCAATCCTAAGCAGACTTAGTAGGTAGTTCTAACATTGTTTATCAACATTCATATCTTGTAGGGTCTGGCGGTTGTGAGACGTTGATAAGAATGTCATTAAACTGCTCATTGCAAAGGACAAAGCCTCTACAAAGTATTTTACACAAGATGGAAGATTAAATGCCATCGAGTAATCAAGCATATCATATAATGATTGAGCCAGAATGTGACATGCTATAGAAATTGATTCCAGTGTTACAGTTTATATCACAATGTCTTAAAAATTAAAAACTATAAATGAGGAGTGTCTTTTCAAAAGGGGATAACTACATTCTATCTTATTTTTCACAAAATTGGAAAAACTTATATGGGAAATATTTGCAGACCTACCGAAAAGCATTATTTCTGTTATGAAACTATTTCGTTACAGTGTTCTAACTACACTTTTTGCCAAAAAATATGACTTGTTAATTTAAAGTTACAGAGTTCAGAAAAATCATAATATCCTCTTTTGACACGGATCTTTTATAATATCCCCCTTTGTTCTGTACTTACTGTAAATATCCCCTTTAGTTGAGCCTACTATTTTGTAAATATCCTCTTTTGTATTGTACATCTCAAAATTTTAAATGATAATAAAACACAGATTATTCTTTTTTTTAAATAATAATAATGACCAAAATTAAAGACGCTACTAAACAGAATTATATTTTTTTAATTATTAGACATTCAAATCCTGAGCCCCGATTACGGTAATATTTAACGTCTACAATCCAGACACGCTTCTTCGATTCTGCGATACGATTGGTCAAAACAGCTGACGTTGACTGACAGCTGACTGTTTTGACCAATCGCATCGCAGAATCGAAGAAGCGTGTCTGGATTGTAGACGTTAAATATTACCGTAATCGGGGCTGATTTGTCCAATATCAGGTGTCAGACAATCACACAACATAGTTCCGTTTTACGTTAATTTTGCGTTCCGTTGAGTAAAATGTCTAAAAATAAATCCTAAAGCATAAAGTTAAAGGAAATAAAACACTATGTAAAAGTAAATATCCCGTTTTGAAACGGCTAATTGGTATAGTGTAAATATTTGTATTGTAAATATCCTCTCTTGTTATGAAATGAAAAATAACTATTATTTTTTTAATTTTGTAAGTGTAAATATCCTGTTCTGAAATGAACACTCATATTTGAAGCTGCTTTACTTGGGAGAATATCCCGTTTTGATTAAGATTCAAGTGACGAAAGTGAGTATTCAGCACTAAGAACAAGACTGCATACTCAGTTTAATAAATAATAAAAATGTAAATATCCCCTTTTGAATAGACACTCCTCAAATTATCTTATGGGAAAAAAAATTGCTCATCATCATCATCATTTCAGCCATAGGACGTCCACTGCTGAACATAGGCCTCCCCCAATGACTTCCACGATGACAAGTTGGCAGCGGCCTGCATCCAGCGCCTTCCTGCTACCTTTATGAGGTCGTCGGTCCACTTTGCTTTTGCTCATTTGTATCCAAATGATAAAGGTGTGTTGTAAATAAGGCAAGAAATGTTTCCAACAATCACACTCAAATTAAGTAGTTTGTAATGGAGCAACTATGTAATAAAGCTCGATTTCAATAAAATTTTCCACTTCTGGGATTCGAATCCGTAACCTTAGCTGTTGTCGTTATTCATAACTTCGGTACGCGGATCGTCAAACCGGCAGTCGTAATAAAATGATATCGTACAACATTGTCGAGCTTATTGATTGTTTGTATGCAATACATTTGAGTTGCAAGCAGTTTAGTTGATGATCAGAATTGCATCCCAATAAAGAACTAGGTCTTACTGTAATCAGTGTCAATTGAATTACTTCTTAGTGTCAAATAAGCAATCTGTGTCGTCTTATAATAATAGTGTCTCATATGACATGAGAAAATGCGATGCACATCCAAACTACACACGTAAGATAAAATAAACGACGACAGCAAATATCTTTCAGCAATTTATGCCAAATTGCAGCAAGGTCTTTTACATTTTTGTAAGATTTGTCTCGATTATTGCTTGAAAAGCTCCTAGTTCTTCTATGAATTCACAAAATAAATCGATTCGACAGCAATCTTATCCAATAAAGCATACTGGTGATAAATCAGTCATTGGATATCAGCTCATATATTTGATTAAAGTACAGTCTGCTCGTGCATGATTAGAATACAAAGTGCAAAGGGCTGTATATCATGCGTGACCCGGTGTCCATTCTTATAGAGCCCGACCGCTCCCCTATACACGCCCTTAGCTCGAAGTGTATTAAAAACTTATGGCAAAGCCTGGCAGTAAATCAAAACATATTATAGGTCTAGAACAATTGTTCCCAAAGTTGTCTGGGCTACGACTCGTCTAATACAAGTTCCCAAACTTCGGACCCACCTATAGGATAGGACATTGAATTTTATTCTCGCTGACGTTTGATGTTACAAAACATCTTCTCGTGCCCATGACGTGGTTAACCTCAATTTTTAAAATGTGCACAAATAAGCAAATCTACCATCTGTATTTGCATTGTTTTACGAACGTAGTTTTCCGCAACATGTAAACAAATGTTTTTGCTCAAGTTTGACTCAAGGGCATCTTTTTGACATAGGGCGCCATTGAAGCGTTGCACATGTATGTATAGCGATAGTACAGCAGACATAAACATGTATGTTGCAACATCGTTCTTATTACAACAACAAGATGCCACAGTGATTAGGTTGAACCTTGTTGTGCCGTTCTTTTTACATTACAACTACTACTTGATGCTAATTTGCTACAATACCTTGACAATAAAAACATGTATTAAAATTGAACGCAATCGGTGAGCGTGCGGTTACGGGCTTGATGCAAATGTATAAGAACTACCCATCAACCGCGCGATCATCGCTGTGTCTGAACCAGGCCTTAGGGAGAAGCCACACGGTGCGGTGCGGTCGCGGCGCGGCGTCGTAGCGATGTCGCTGCGGCGTCCTGTATAAAAAATTAATGATAATGCCAGATGATGCGATCCGGCGCCGCACCGCAGGCACACCGCACTTCGATTGAGCGAGACGGTGCCGTATTGCGGCGCCGCATACCACATTTACTAATTAAATAAGTATTATGTAACCCCCGTTGGTGCGTTCGTACCCGCAAACCAGCTTCGTGACTTGACGACCTGTGTCATGTTACGATTTTTCTGAGCGGGCGCCTTTTCAGCATGGCTCAATAATGTTAACCTCTGTACATGTATGCACCTAAATGTTAAATGCTGAATAAAGATATTCTATTCTACACGTGTACAGTGATGCGGCCAAATATTTGCGATGCGGCGTCGCACTGCACCGTGTGGCTTCTCACTTAGGCAGCCTTTCCGCCAGATATGTGCGAGGTTGCGTAGCGAGGATGTGTTTGTAAAGAACCAATACAATCGCTTACATTTACCTCGCCTCGGTAATGAATTCTATTCACATCTCTGGTGGAAACGCAGGCCTTATTCTCTTGTCCACTCTTCTAGAGTCCCCAGCGTGACATCCAACGGCGCGGAATCCGGCACAGAGGAGGACGAAGAAATGGCGGCAGAGGAAGACGAGTCCGAGGGAGAGGACGACCTGCCTCTGGAGATGGTTGACGACGCCGGCCGCAGCAACAAGGTGAGATGATCCTGTCCAGATCCACCTGACGGTGTCCTCCCAAAGTCTTTGGGACGGAACTGCGAGTTATTTTCCGAGCTAGTCGGCCTAGACCAAGGCTGCTCAACCTTTTGAAGAGTCGGGCCAAACGGTAGATTCAGTTGTTAACGACGGGCCACCTACATTTTTGACAGCTAACTTCAGAGAGATCTTAAAGTTTGTACTGTGCTCGGCGGGATTTTTTATTTGGTGCGTTTTTTTTTCAAACTGTACATGCGCGGGCCACTTATAATTCTTTTGGGGGCCACAGTGTGGCCCGCGGGCCTGGAGTTGAGCAGCCTTGGCCTAGACATTCTTTCGTGGCTCCGCCCCAGACTGTGGAACAAGCGATGACTGGCTTCAGGGGAGTAGTACCTCCCCTGTTCTTCGCTAACGGTGCGCGTGAACACATACGCGCGCCGCCGCCACGGATTCTCCTTTAGCGGCCACCAAACACCCCCGTGTCTAGTGGCCGAGGACCGTTAAGAGGGGGCATGGAGATGGTAGTGTCTCCTGCGGTGTCCTGGACGTCGGCGTCGGTTCGGTGGAGCGTCAGGCGAGGCCTCTCGCTCCCTCTTCGCCGCTTCTTTCTGCGACATGACCTCCTCGCAGAAGTGGAACACCGCATATCCAGTCCAAATCCAGTCTTGACAGATCCAACTCCTTGCCAGACAATTTTTTTAGGGTAGTCCAAAGCCACGATGAATGAAACTTCATGATGCACCAACATTCTATCCTATATTGGAAGCATACGCTGACAAACTTTCAGCTTTTATAAAATGACGTAGGTCTGGCGTTCACTAGCTCGTAGTCTATTATACTTTTGTTTCATTTATGTAGGCTTAAGCCTAGGCGCAGACCACCGACTTTTAGTTGGCCGATAGTTGGGCCCGATTCTAATTTGTTTGAGGAATCGGCCGATACTAAATCGGTGTAAAGTGCGCACTTTCATACATGTTCATACTGATTAATAGCCCGATCCAACAATCGGCCGACAAAAAGTCGGTGGCCTAGGCTTAGAGATAGACTGATTTTATTTATTTAGAAAAACAACTGCGTAATACTAATGCATACCCTTATCAAGTACTTAAAATTAGTATTGCTAATTACAGATTTTCCTTATTCATAAATACAGTGTATAATACTGTATACTGTTAAAAATAGAACCGTGCAGTATACTAAAATATTTATCTTCAAAATATTCCACCTACAAGTTACTTAGATCTATATCATTTACATAAACTTAGCGAGGATTGTTGTCTTATGTCGCCTAGACAATGGATAATCTTTATTGCGAGAGCTAAGTGGAATGTTATGGTGTAAATTATATGCCTTCTTGCTTAGAAATGTATCTGACGCGGAATTAAATCCAAAATTCCGTATTCGTCATAAAAATATCCCATAGTAAAAAGACTTTTAAAGCGGTCAATGCAAAGCAAAATGATGCTATTATTTTTGAAAGTAACTTAAATTTTCTCATTACTTTGTCTGCATAACTTTAAAAGATTAAAATAAATTCACTTGCTGTGGCGCTCTGTAGTATAAATTAACAATACAGAACTCATTATCCGAGCATTGCCGGCCGGATCAATTTAGATAATGAAATCTTATTTAAATGAACTCTGTATTCTCATTGTTTTGTCTCTAAATACAACTGTTTATTTAAATGTACGTTTAAATTCCAGGATGACATGGAGACGGAACATTTAGCGACATTAGAACGACTCCGGCAAAACCAGCGGCAGGATTATCTGTCAGGCAGTGTATCTGGCAGCCTGCAGGCGACTGATAGACTCATGAAGGAGCTCCGAGACATATACCGTTCTCATTCCTTCAAGAATAACATGTACTCTATTGGTGAGTGGTTTTTGACAGCTTTAGACTCATTCTAAGGCCCGGTTTCCAGGCGGAGCGGAATTACATTCAGATTGAATGAAATCTGATTGGTTATTCAAAACATTTCACCGCTTCGCTCAGGCCTTGTTAGTAACCGGGGCCTAAGGTCTGTACTTTACTTAAGCTAGACCTGTGTTTAGCACATAACTGAGTATTCCTGAGAATTGGAACGGCACGGGAGGGGTGATATATGACGTAACAGCATAAACGTTTGAAGCATCATAGCATCTGGGGGCTTAATGTGAATTTAAATCTGAATCACTGTGAATTCGAGTGCGTCAAAAAATCTATGAAAATTTAAGTTCTTGAAAGTATCCGTTAGGGACCCTGTACAATCCGTCATACATTTAATGTATTTTTTTCGCACTCGATATCAAATACGTTTGATGTAAACTCGCACTATGCCCTTAGAAGTCTCGTTCACGTTTGACGTCATAAAAACACCCTTATTGAAATATGCGCTAGTTAGAGGTATTGAACGGTAGTTATTGATAGCGAGTTTGTTGGCGATGTATTGAATCGTTATACACTAGACAGGTCGCTAACCCTGCGCTTGTTGATGCGTGGATTGATTCGAGGATTTCGCGTGTTATTGACAGTTAGAATCGGACATTGACCTATAATATGAATAAATAAAGAGCAATGTGTACCTTTTAATTTAATTTGGTGGAAGTAAAAAAAAATACGCTAATAAAGGCGATACGCAAACGTTGTATTTGTATATTAATAATGCAATGATAGTAGAATAGGTTTTCCTATTCTATTATTTATTTAGACTCTTCCTGTGGATTTCAAAAAGGTATCTAAAGGACAAATGTGCGAATCTCATGCCGCCTGGCCAGCGTGGGCGTAAAAGCCAAATCCTTCATGAGTCCTGCTCCTACAAAGGAGCTAATTTGAGCTAAATGATCTGATGATGAATAAGGGTCATTCTCACAGATCACAGAAACTAAAGGGAGATGTGATAAGGGGGCGGGGCCGGTGTCGCAGCAATATGCCCAAAAACAGAACACATTCCTCGTGACCGCAATGATGACAGCAGCGACGTCATAATGTGAACAGTTTACATTGCTTGCGTAGTACTAAAGATTATTCGAACGTTGAGTACCGACACCGCAGTGGATAATGAGCACAAATTTTGATTCGTGTGTGTGAATTTCTAATGCGACACTGAGTTTCGAACTCAGCGCATTAGTTGGCATCTCTCTATATCTCTGGTCATTCTGCAACTATACTTTTAGAAAAGCTAAAATGCGTTTGTTAACTTTGTTTCTAATGTGTGATTTTTTTCTTCCAGAACTAGTAAATGACTCGCTATACGAGTGGAACATCAGGCTGCGTTCAGTTGACCCCGATAGTCCGCTGCACAACGACCTGCTTCTACTCAAGGAGAGAGAGGGCAAAGACTCCATCCTGCTCAATATCATGTTCAAGGAGACGTACCCGTTTGAACCGCCGTTCGTTCGCGTCGTCTACCCCATTATCTCAGGTTGGTCAAAAAGGCGTTTTATTGGAAGGAAGTAAGGACGGTTTTACGTTGTTACTACTCAAGGAGAGAGAGGGCAAAGACTCCATCCTGCTCAATATCATTTTCAAGGAGACGTACCCGTTTGAACCGCCGTTCGTTCGCGTCGTCTACCCCATTATCTCAGGTTGGTCAAAAAGGTGTTTTGTGTAATAGGAGTAAGGCCGTTTTTACGTTAGCTTAGTGGTTACTACTCAAAGAGAGATAGGCAGACTCAATCCTGCTCAATATCATGTTCAAGGAGACGTACCAGGTTGGTCGAAAAGGTGTCTTATTGAAAGGGAGCTAAGTTGTGTTTTACGTCAGCTCACTTGTTACTACTCAAGGAGAGATAGGGCAAAGACTCCATCCTGCTCAATATCATGTTCAAGGAGACGTACCCGTTTGAACCGCCGTTCGTTCGCGTCGTCTACCCCATTATCTCAGGTTGGTCAAAAATGTGTTTTATTGAAAGGGAGCTAAGTTGGGTTTACTTTACCTGCTACTACTTAAGGATAGAGAGGGCAAAGACTCCATCCTGCTCAACGGGTCTGACGCAGAATTTGCACTTCGCAAAAAGAGCATTTCGCGAAATGGGCACTTTTCCATACTAATATTTATACAAACTATTTAGCCTTTACATTTGTATAGAAAAATCCGCAATTTGCGCAGTGCACATTATGCGAAGTGCACATTCTGCGTCAGACCCTGCTCAACATTATGTTCAAGGAGTGGGTGGGTGTCGTTATGGAAATCCTTGGGGGAGGTCTTTGGCCAGCTGTGGACGTCATTTGGCTGAAACGAAGGAAGGGTGGTTGTACGTTAGTTAACTATGGTCCTTGAATTGCTTCCACATGGAACATTCGCCGCGCCCTATTTCACAATAGCGCCCACATTATAGTGAAATTATTAACTGACACGTTGTCAGGAGGACTTTCAGACGTTAAGATCGGCCTATGGACGTCAATAGCAACGTTTGACGCTGACGTAGCCTTGGGCTAAGAAAACATTAATTAATCATAAAAACTTGTTTCCCAGGAGGCTACGTGCTAGTAGGCGGCGCGATATGTATGGAACTGCTGACGAAGCAGGGCTGGTCGTCCGCGTACACCGTAGAAGCCGTCATCATGCAGATAGCGGCAACCCTGGTGAAAGGCAAAGCGCGCATCCAATTCGGCGCGACCAAGGTTGTCTCGCAGTCCCAGTATAGCCTTGCCCGCGCGCAGCAAAGCTTCAAATGTCTCGTGCAGATACATGAGAAGAATGGTCAGTATAGTTTTTTATTTACATGGACTTTTTTAAACTTGGAAAAATCAATGTAGTCAGGTACTTCCCGACTAACACTTGACAAAACTGATACGCCACAAGAAAACTTTATTTTTGGCGCTATCATTGCGGCCTAGTCCAAAATTCCAAACCCGTTTTGCTCCGGATATTTTTTTTGTACTTCGCTCCGTGAAACGATTTCGAAATTAATATTCACGAATGTTACTTGAAGAAAGATAGAGGCCAAGCACTATTCACCTCAATGGACGCTACATCTAATTTTAGGCTCTTGGTAGATTTATGTACTTACTTATCAGTCTCATAGCTAGTTCTGTCTGTTGAAACTGAATAATCTTGTACCACAGCCACTACGGTCCATATTACGAACGAAGCTGACAACTTGATTCAATCAGACGAATAGAAGCTTTTAGATTGTTTGATCTGCAATATTTAGCCCAATTACAGGACTGAACTTATGACGCGATTGATTAGTTTTCATCTTTCACACGCACTATGATGTTTGTTCGTTCGTTTCAGCCGAAAGACGTCCACTGCTGGAAAAAGGCCTCCCCCAAGGATTTCCACAAAGACCGGTCTTGCGCCGCTCACATCTAGGCACCTCCCGTGACCAGGTCGTCGGTCCACCTAGTGGGAAGCTTGCCCACGCTACGTCTTCGGCTCGTGGTCGCCACTCGAGAACTTTTCTGCCCCAACGGCCATCGTTTCTACGAGCTATGTGCCCTACCCACTGCTACTTAATTTTAGCAATTCTGCGAGCTATGTCGGTCACTTTGGTTCTCCTGCGGATCTCCTCATTTCTGATTCGATCATGCAAGGAAACTCCAAGCATAGCCCGCTCCATCGCCCTTTGGGTGACCTTGTTGACGCACTATGTATGTATCATAATTTAATTTGGCATATTGATTGATTCAAAAATGTTGCATTCCAGGCTGGTTCACACCTCCGAAAGAGGACGGCTAATGCCGGGCTCGGCGCCCTGGGCCGGGTTCCGCCGTCTATGTGTAAGCCGACTGAATGGACTATGTGGATGATATCTCGACTATGTATGTGTACTTTAATGTTAAGTGCTATTAATGTTCTGATAGTGCGGGCGGTCGCGACCTCGCGAGAGACTTCATAAGACTTATAGGAAATGTTTAAATGTGTAACGTTTTTTGTAATCATTAATTTTCTCATAAAAAAAAACAAAGTTATCCACGAGTAGCCTTAGACGTTACTGGAGTGTAAAGTTGGAAAATTCTTTGCATTTCTTTTTAGTTATGGAAATAAAAGAAAACCTGTGATTCTTATTTGCCGTCTTTTAATCTCCTCAATATCTTCGTGTAATATTTACAGTATCGCGCCGGGTTAGAGGCAAAATCGATTATTTAGGCCAAACAAGTCTGTTGATTTTACTATCACTATAGTTCGGTCGCCGAGCACATAGAATTTCGTCCAATGACCCCAAGCTACCCATCGTTATTAGCTTATGGTCATTGGACGAAATTCTATCTGCTCGGCGACCGGACTTTAGATATGAAATCAAATGCAGAGTTGAATGGTATATTTTAAAATAAAATACAGAAAATTGATAGGTTTTCCCTCTAACCCGGCGCATGTTTATTCATTTACCGAGTACATAGTATGCTAGTAGTATAAAAATATATCTGTCACCGTTTTGAATACTTTGGTAGTCCTTGTAATATATTGCCGTGTACATTAAAGTTAATTCGATATTAAATAATTTTACGACAATCCTATAGCTTTGATTTTTGGTTCTGTCTGTTGTGATCCATTAGTATTTTAAGGTAGGCCACGTGGTCGTTACACCCTGGTTCGTTTGCAATTTTGCTGAAGTCTTTAGCATACATTATTTTTAGCCATTGCTTCAGTTTCGGGTACCTGAAAAAAAGTATTAATACATAATATACACAGTATTATAAAATATTAAGTTCTTCCGGAATTCGATTTTTATGGTTTATGGCTAAATAGAATTTATTTATTGACCTACAATAAATTTATCAATATTCAAGTCTAATCTGTTTATTCCGAATGACTCTTTACCGTGAAGGCTTGAGGTGCTATCGTGGTTTGAGATAAAAAAGACAAACTTTATTGTCACACACATAATGAGTGAGTACATAGAAAAATGCAACTAAAAAGTACATAATCTATTGGGTAGAAAAGTTTGCCGGTCATTTTTTAAAACCCTATTTCTATTACAAAAGCCGATAAAACTTACTTCTTCCCATCAACCGGCACCAGCCCATCCAGCGAAGATAGCGTAGAGAATGCGCAGATGTCAGCTACTGTCATGACGTCATCGGCAAGGTAGGTAGTCTGGGAGAGATACTCTTCCGTGGTGGAGTAAGCGTTCTTGATTCCCCACACCGCTTCTTTGGGCATCTCTGACATTTGGCCCATGTATGTTGGCACCTGGAAGCAAAGTTAGTCCAGTCATTTCGTCCGAAAAAAAGGCAAATAAAAGAAAATGAATTTGCGCTTCTAATTTTTTAATATGTTGTAGGGGATACCTAGAAAAGCTTAACTTGAGATTGTCGACCAAGCTTTCTTAGGAGCTTTCGCCGCCATCTTGGAAAACGCTTAAAATTTGTTTTTCGGCAATAACTCGGCTTTCTTTTTTTTCTTTTTCAGCCAAATGACGTCCACTGCTGGACAAAGGCCTCCCCCAAGGTTTTCCACAATGAACGGTCCTGCGCTGCCCGCATCCAGGCTCTTCCCGCGACCTTTACCAGATCGTCGGTCCACCTAGTAGGAGGCCTGCCCACGCTACGTCTTCCAGCCCGTGGTCGCCACTCGAGAACTTTCCTGCCCCAACGGCCATCGTCTCTACGAGCTATGTGCCCCGCCCACTGCCACTTGATTTTAGCAATTCTGCGAGCTATGTCGGTTACTTTGGTTCATAACCTACCGGGGCTTGAGTTTCGCCACGATTTAAACCATAAATATCCAATGTAAATCCATCATCTTGATATTTGTAATATAATGTTTTAGGCACATCTTGATATTTACCAGTACGCGCTTTCAGATCTGTCATTTTAACTTTAGCTTCGTCTAATTTTGTTTTTAGCAAATTCCAACGGATCAATGCATATTTACGTTCCAATTCTCCTGTAAATTCTAATTTGTTTTCCTCAATAATAGCATTCATCATTGCATCTTTACTTGTCAATGCATCTACATAAGCATCTACTTTTACAGCTTGATTTGCTGGAGCAAATGCTCTGCGGCGAATTTCTTTTAGGTAAACTGCAGCAGATCCTGCTCCTTCTAATTCGTTAGCAGCTTCAGCCGCAATTAAAAGTACTTCTGCATAACGCATGTAAATTTTGTTTACACCATCGTCATTTGGTGCGCTGGCAATACGTTTCATCCATTCAAAACGATATTTACCAAAATACCAAGTCTGTAAATCTGTAAGTTCTTGTTTTGATTTACCGTTTACCGCAGCACCCCATTTATAAGGAACACAAGTTACATCTCTTCTAGTATCAGCTTGATCATAGTCATAAAAAACAAATGGCAATGGTCCGTTAACTCCTCCCTTATTGGTTCCCATAGCTTGAAATTGATCAACAGCATCATGTCTAACCGCAAAAGTAAACAGCATTCTTCCTCTAGAATCAGCAAAGGGAATTTCCCAAAGAGACTCTCCTCCTGCAGTTGTATTTTCTTGATTGTATTTTCTCCACAGCCCCTCAAAAGTTGGCTCTAAACGTGCCGTTCCACTTGTAATAACCGAACGACATTCCTCTAATGCTAACTTGTACATGGCAGCTACTGAAAGTTCTGGATCATTACTTCTTCTTACTCCGTCAGGATATTGCTGATAACCACTTGCCATCCCCTCTCTTCGGACTTCACATAATCCTACGATATCCCACCGTAACCTGCTCAATTCTTCCTCGAGTTCCATTAGCTTCACGTCTGTACGCAGTGTGCGAGCGTTATAGGTTGCCAGGGCCAGAGGTCGTCGGTGTTGGTAGCCTGGCATCCCCCGGGGATTCTTCGCACCCCTTGCCCCACCGTTACCGTGACCGCTACCGTGGTCCGGGATAGTGGGGCCGCCGGGGACTAGGGGCCGTTTTTTTGTTTGTGCTACCATTTGGAGGGTTTTGCCCTAATCGCCACGCTTGGCAGGCGGGTTGGCGATCGCAGTTTTTTACTTGGTTTCGCACGCAGACGCTGCTGCCCGTCCGGTGCTACAGGAGTTTGTCGCCTCTTACGACACGCCTCCTGTGGGCGGTGGGGAAAAGTATTCTTTTACGGCCGTCCCCACACGGCAATATAAATAATTAAATAATTATTATATAAATAACTCGGCTATCCGATGAGATTCGAAAATTTTTGTAGGACACTTTTTGTAGCTTTTTTTGTGCCCTCGATTTACACTACGCACAGCAAAAGCTCAACACGATACGATATACTAACTTGAGCGCGCTCGACGCTGAGCGTGGATTCACCGACTTTGCGGCGCGCTGGAGATCGTAATTTTTGTCCAACATAAAAAAATCCAAGAAGGAAATTGTAGGTCTGAATATGCTCTACAAGTTTGAATTCCACAATTTTTTATATTTATTAAGACCCAAAGAAAAAAAAAGAAAAAAACAAAAATTGTGTCCAAAATTTTTGACTTTATCGATCGATATCTCGATAACGATGCATGATACGCTAAAAATGGTTCGGGCGTTATTGTAGAGCACAAAGAAAGCTACAAAAAGTGTCCTACAAAAATTTTCGAGTCTCATCGGATAGCCGAGTTATTGCCGAAAAACTAATTTTACCCCTTTTTTCAACATGGCGGCGAAAGCTCCTAGGAAAGCTTGGTCGACAATCTCAAGTTAAGCTTTTCTAGGTATCCCCTACAACATATTAAAAAATTAGAAGCGCAAATTCATTTTCTTTTTTGAATGTACGTAATGACTGGACTAAGTATGATGATTTTTTTTTGTGAACGTAGTTGACGTTCGTTTTTCGAACCACGAAAGTATTTTACTTGTTATTTTTGGGCAATCAACAACTACAGTTTGTGGGGTTATTCCCAGTTGTGAGAGACTGGGAGTTGGGGCATTTTTTGAAATTAACGCCCGTATTCACAAACGATGCTTGCTAGTGAAGCAGAAAATCGAACGCACAGTGTTGAATAGAGCTCTTTAGTTCATGTGTCACCCAGTGCGTCCATGCGCACTGACCTCATAGTAATATTTTTAAATAAGAAATTGATGTTTGTGAAAAAACATAGGGTACTTTTCTGTTTAAACAAGAAAAATATTGGAACAGCTTACCATCACAGTTCTAAGCCGTTGAAACAAAACACCACAGTTGAAAAATAGCCTCTGATGGACAGTCGCCCGTTTTCTTCTATCTTTAGGATAGAGATATTCGTGCTCCGGTCCGCCATATTTGTCCAGCAAATAAATTACGATTGCATGGCTGAAAAATAACTAAAATAAATAAAGGTGATATTATGTATTAAACATTTTAAATTACTTTATCAGCTCCGTAGTTGAGTTTACGAGTTTAGGAGAGTCGTTAAATCTGACTTCTGACCCCGAGGAACTATATTTTACGAGTCCGAATCGATGTCATACCCATTAGCAAATAATTTTACTTTTTATAGTGGCGGTAAAATAGTCATAAAGAAAAGTTTATGAGCTACACCTGGGTTGGATTTCTGCTGAGGTTTCTGCACAACTGCACCTCTACCAAGCATAAATACTATTGAAGTTTGAAATACGCATCAAAATAAGCTGTAAGTACCTTCATAATTAATTAAAAGTTACTTAATTTATAATGAGAAGAATAGGGTACTAACCTGTCACTCAGAGCGAAATCTCCTTCATCTATAAATGGTACAGTCCGCATAGGATTTTTCTGGAAAAACGAATATATTGCTACATAACTTTTCATAAGTTCGTTTCAGTTGAAAGACGATTACTGCTGGACAAAGACCTCTACCAAGGATTTCCACGAAGACCGGTAAAGCCGCCCGCATTAAGGCACCACCCGCGACCTTCACCAGATCGTCGGTCCACCTAGTGGGAGGCCTGCCCACACTACGTAAGTTTTTATTTATTCTAACCAATCTGCCAAAAAGGTTATTCCAATTTTATCGCCCGGGTGATAATATTATAGGGTGTTGCAAAGATATTTCTGTGGAGTCAGTAGGTTCGATTTTTTAACTAGATGGTATTGATTGTTTATAAAAATCTTACCTTTCTCAACTCCGGCGTATCTTGCTCTCTCAAGATTGGGTTGAGGTCCCTTTGCTCTATATCTAGTCCCAAGATATGAACGAGCATCTTCACAGCTCTGGCTGGAGGGCTCTGATCAGTCTTGTACAATATGGTCTTCATTGTGAGTTGTGTCTGTTCTTTATACTGAAGAAGAAGAAGAAAATAGTTTTTTTTTGTCTTTGGTATTGCGGTTTTTTGTTGAATTTAGGCTAAAAAGTTCTGAGCTATAAGGGCGTTTGGTTGCAGTCTGTTTAAATCGTTTATTTGGTTCACAAAAGCACAGTTTATTAGAATAATTAAGCTAGATTCTACAGCTAAAGCCCGATCACGCTAGTTTTGTACAGATTAACTTCGAATCTGACGAGTAAGTTCTAATATAACTGCAAATCCCAGGATAACGAGTTTCCACACTTTTTAAATCGACTCTTAGTGAATTTAAACACTTTTCAACTACATACCTACTAAGTTGGTTGCGCGTTGCGTGATGGCACCGTGACTCTAGGAGCCCCGGGATCGATTCCTATTAGGTCAATCTGTAATGCGAATATCAAATTGTTGCGCGTCTGGGCGTTCTAAGACAATATTCTGTTAAACACCTACCTATTATAATCTGAAATAATGATTAACTTAAATAAAACCTATCTCTGAATTTCTTTTTCGTAAAAACAGGAACAAAACAAACACATAACCTCAAATTTAACAGTTGTACCTTGAATTCCTATGTGGTTTCAATTAATTGTAACAAACTGGCGCATGCAGGTGAATAAACTGTAATTTTTAACAAGTGTACGTAAATAGAATTAATTTACGAAAGATTTCACTGTATTATTCTACTAGCTAGATTGTACAGTACTTTGACCTAAGATAATTAACGCTATGCGAAGATAAAGATTTATCTTGCGCTTGTTGTTCTACGTACCGGTTTAGTTCGTAACTCTTACCACAGATGGCGGTTTTTCTGGAGATGTAAAATAATACTCGTAGAACCATAGAATGCCAAAGTGGTACCCATAGAGAAAAGTAATACATAGGAAGGTACCTAACTAAAACTAGTTCGATCTCCACTGACCGAAAAGGCGTTAAAACTACAATTAAATAGCTAGGTGTAGTTGTAGGTCCTTATCATCATGCCATTTTGCATTATGGACATCACTTAATGATTGAAGTGAGGTTGTCTGTATGTAACATTTATAATTCTAATTTTTTATATCAGATTAAGTATTCTTTTCTGGATAAAGTTAAGTATTCTTGATTATTCATAAATTAAAATAAATACACTGGCACGCTCATTTACTAATTCTTTAGAAACTCAACCTTTTCTTACGGCAAAAGTGTTTTAACCAAAAACGTGCTATTAACTTCAGTTAGGGGCTTAAGGCAATTACCTTTTTTGACATAATTGGGCAATTAATTAAAAAAATATTCTTATTTAATCTTGTTTAATTAGTTTTGTTTACACTTTACCCATCAACCAATAAAGTAGGTAGTCATTTTACGTAAACAATACCAAGGTTACATCATAAACGATACTTACCTACTTATTTCACTTATCATAAGAGGTATTTTGACCCGACCTGGGTAAGAGATAGGGTAAATATAAATTTAATGTATTAGGTACAACATTGATATCTGCCATTATCTGCTACGTCATTAATTACAAGCGCTTGGACAAATGACGAAACCTTATAATTTGGGGTCTTTGTATCACGTTTGGGGCTTAACCTTCTGTATCAAAGTTGACCTTTGATGTTACAAATCTGTTTTTGTTTGTCTTTACGTAGGCAATAATGTTAAAATAATTCGAGATTAACTCATTTAGTGTAAGTTTGGTTTGGGAAAATAATATTCATGACTACAAGTAAAAGTAAAAGTAAGATTGACCTTTGCAATTAGATTATAGAGATATAATATTAATTTGATCTTATTCTGTCGTGAGGTAATATTTTTTTTTCTAGAAATAATATTTGAGTGCCTATGTCTAAGTAGTATTGTTACTTTGATTCAATAAAGTTGCGTAACTTGACGTCAAAAGGAATTAAATGACTCAATTACTAAGATTAATGACGAAGTACCTAGTGGATCGTAGGTAGTAGACAAATCGATGAATAAGGCTGCGTTATTTTAATACAGATTTTTTTATTTAGTCAGATATCCATAATGGAAATAATATCGACATACATTTTCTTATGATTTTCATGCTCTTCCATGTTACCCTCTTTGATTACAGTATGTACAGCTTCTTAAATGTACCCCTTTAATCCATCTTCGGTCAAGATCACAAGTTTTCTTAAAACCTCTTAGTAAAATTTCAGCAAACCTTAATACGGCACATTAGTAAATAAGTATGACACTGATTCGGCGTAATGCGTGCGTCTGATCGCTTCAGCCAACATCACTGAAATATCAATGGTCTGCAATTTCGGACACAACTTCATGTGTTTCTCCTGAGGTATCGTATTCGTCACCACAATAGCCTCCAAACATGAACTGTTGATCTTATCAATGGCATTTCCAGCGAATATTCCGTGACTCAATATCGCGTATATTTTGCTAGCTCCAGCTTCGCGCAATTTCTCCGCTCCTTTGACTATTGTGTCGCACGTGTCAGCTAAGTCATCTACCATGATAGCTATTCTGTTCTTGACATCTCCGACTAGCACTGTTGAGTCGCCTTCGTTCGCTCTTTGTCTCTCTTTGTGGATTATAGCAAAGTCGATCTCTAGTCTGTCAGCTATAGCAGTCATCCTCTTAGCACCACCAGCGTCTGGTGATACCATCACACTGGTTTTCCACTCCGGTATATTCTCCATGATCCACTTCGTGATAGCTGGTTCTGCGTATAGGTTGTCGACTGGGATGTTGAAGAATCCTTGGATTTGGGACGCGTGGAGGTCGATGGTGATGACGTGGTCAGCTCCAGCTACTGATACAAGGTTGGCGAGTAACTTGGCTGTGATGGGTGCTCTTGCCTTTTCTTTCTTGTCCTGTCTGGAGTATGGGAAACAAGGGATGACAGCTGTGACGCGGGACGCTGATGCAATCTTGCAAGCGTTGATCATGATAAACATCTCCATTAGGTTATCGTTGATATCCCCACACCCACTTTGGACGATGTAGACGTCTTCTCCTCTGACTGATTCCCCAATTTCCACATTTGTTTCCTTATTGCTGAAGTATTTTGTTGTCGCTTTTCCGAGGGGTATTCCTAGTTTTGCGACGATCCTTTTGGCGATCTCTGGGTGAGAAGTGCCAGTGAAAATTTTGATGTTAGGCATCCTTGGGCTTGGGTTGATGAAACTTTTTCTTTGTTTTTCTTCTCTTGGGTTCTCCTGGCTATCTTCAGGTTTCATTAAGAGTTCTTAAAAGCGGTATCTTCTCAGTCCAGTTGCCGGACACAGAATGATCTTGTCTGCATTTAAAACTGATTTATCAATCTGGGGTCAAGATATCAGGTCTCCGGTAATCAGAGTCCCCCGCAATGGAAGTGTACATACAGTTCGTTATCTGTCCAGTAAACACAAACAACGGTTCATATTGTTTTGCGTAAGTCTGTGATAATATTCGTAATAGTTACAACACTTTCATTATGGTTATGTAACTGCTCAATAATAAAATATGGTAACGATGCAATCAATACTTTGAAAGAGCTTTCATTTAATTTGTAATTCGTATCCATAGTAACCATTCTGGTTTTCTTTGGGGTTCGGCGAAATTACTTTTAATTGTGCGCCTGGGGTACAGGCTTAAATACCAGCTGGGGTTGCGGTAATGCGGTACCTATCCATTACCGTTAGGGACATATTGGAAAAAGTGTGAGCGATTAAATATTCTCGAATTCTCGTTGTACCTATTCTCATATAGTAATAGTTGTAATAGTTGTACTCGTAGTAACTCGTCAATAAAATATCTAAGTTAGATTGGCAGTTCATAGTTAGTTACTTCTAGTTTTTCCCTTGTTATTTTTGTAACATTGTACCTTGGGATAGTAGCTAGTGGGAGTTGTAATAAAAGCGAATTAAAATAATATTATTTAATCATTACGTACGCCTTAACTAACAAGGTATTGTTTACCTAGCGGCGGTCCCAAACAATAGAACAAAACACAAAGCTTTACAGTTAAATTAGTTAGCAAAATTTGCTTTTAAGGTGTAGGCATTACAAGCGAGCATTGCACTCGTACACAGTCCAATAGTTGCTATTAATTATCTCCAACGAAATAAATTATATAATTATTAGATTCACTGAAAATATCGTGAGCAATAACGCCGTTATTCAAGTCACACAAGTCAATATTTGTTGTGGATTTTCTGTAATTATCGTAGTTATTCTGATTGTCGTCCAGGCCGTATATTTTGATTTCTGTAACCATATTTGCCCAAACCGCTTCCGGACCGCAGAATACGTCGAAATCATCACCTTCACTTGTTATTTCTAGTTCTGTATGATTAACCTCAAAGTTTACTGTCATATTTGACGACATGTAAAGGCTGCCCAAGGCATGAAAGACCTCTATTTCTATAAGACCGTTGGTGACAACGCTTATTCTCTCCAATGCGATTGTGAGAGAGAAGGGAGAGTTTTTGCGAGTTAGTTCTGCTGTTTCTTTTGTATCCTGAAAAGCAAAATAAAACTGTTAAATAGAAGTTTGATAAAAATCTTAGATTTTATAATAATAATAACTCTTTATTGCACACCACAACAAGAACAAGAAAAATAAAAGAAACAAACGGACGAGAAGGTACAATAGATTTGTATCTCAGATCATAGTTCTATGATCTGAGGGTATGACCTAATATTTTTTATGTCTTAAAATTTAAATCGAAAACAATCGAAATTAAGAACCTCCTCCTTTTGTTGAAGTCGCTTAATGAGCTCACAATTTAATTAATGGGTAACTTTTTGACTGACGTCTATTTCACAGGCATCTATTTGAATGATTACTTAATTAATATTATAATTCATTAATTATAATATTATCTATCAGGTAATAGAGTAGGTACTTAAATAGTTCTAGTAACATAAATAAAGTTATATTATTGGAACTAGAGGTGGGCGCCACGCCGGCGCGCCGCCGCCGCCGCGATTTTTTTCACGCCGCCGCCGCCGACGACCAGCTGTCGGCGCGCCGATACTGATACTGTACGAACTATTTGAAATTTATTCCTCTCCTATACTGTACTAATTTGTGTTTCAAACGCAGAAGAACTATTTTTTTATTGAGTTGAGCGGCTATTCTAGTTAAATAAAGTCCTAGTATCACTGCGACCGGTACCGATCTATTGTGATCGCCGCTATTTTCCTTATAGTTCGCCTCCGAGTCCTGCATCCATTAGGAATTGCAGTATATTTTTTGGGGGGCGATATGTTTTACATCTTGTGGGCTTAGGATGTGTTTGCCCAGGTGTAAATTCCGCTTGCGCATCAAAGGTCCGCAGTCCGTGAGAATGTGTAGTGGCGTTTTATCTCCCTCTTGGCACATCCTGCACGTTATTGATTCGGACAGTCCCATAGTGGACAAATGCTTGTTTAAGCTGCTGTGTCCAGTGAAGGCTCGAACTAAGATGCGCATTTTGATCCTACTCAGTCCTATGATCTGCTTAGAGCATTTTCGGTCATAGGTTTTTATAAGAGCTATGGATTGAGAGATTGATCCTTGCGTGTCTGACCATGCCTTAAAGGATTTGTTTAAATAGATGTTCTCCAGGGTCATTCAAGCGAGACTTTTGGGAATGCCACAAAAGGGTTCTGGACCATATTGTGTTCCCTCCGCTCCCGCTCTGGCCAGTTCGTCGGCATTTTCACTGTCCACGATTCCCGCGTGACCTGGAACCCATCTCAGCGTTACTCTGTTACGTTTTCCTAGGGTATTCAGTCGACTCATGCAGTTTTCTACCAACTATGAGGTGATTAAGTTGGAGTTTAAGGCCATCAGCGCGGCCTGACTGTCTGAGTTAATGTAAATTATGTGGTTGGCATAATTTTTTCGCAGATTAGCACATTCAATAATGGGGTAGACTTCTGAAAGATAGATGCAAATTTACCCGGACTTTGAGATAGCCTAAGCTTCGGCTGCTCTCCATACACGCCAAAGCCTACGTTAGGGCCCATTTTTGACCCATCAGTAAACCATATAACAGAAGAACTAACTTTAATATTTATTCTTTAATGCCATATAAATTGTTACACAAGGCGAACTTAATGCCATTGATATACTAATAATTGATTGAATAACTTAATACTAACTATATTAACAGTTAATCAAGAAGATCATCTGCTGCTATCTTTCCCGAAAACTATTATCCGGGCCTCTTCAAGGCGAGAGTGAATAGGCACTTACAGGGCAGATATGTACCATCCTAGACTGCATCCCACTTAACATCAGGTGCGATTGTGGTCAAATACCTGCCTTGTTATGCATAAAAAAAAAACATCATTCAAGTTACTGCTTGGTCTAGTAAATAATTGATCGCGAGAGGCGCCGGTCCCTCTTGCTGTCAAGAAAAAATTCCCGCCTTCGTCTGGCTACAATTTAATCAAAAAAAAAAGATCAAGCATTGGACTTGATCCGAGACTTGCAGCTATGCCTGCCTTTGATTCCTACTGATGATGATGATTCATCCGACCGATTTCGGTCATGGTGACCACTTCGACTTAGCTGTCTTAGCGGCGCTGGTACGCCCGAAGATGGCTTACATAGCCGATCTTCGCGGAAAACTCCTCACACATTGAGAGTACTCCTCACACATTGAGAGTAATTACCCGCCAACATAATTATAGTGAATGGCGACAGATGGACGGGATTTACATCATCGCGTTTTGCGTCGAGTTCAGTTGTGCGCTGCTCGTTGAATTCGCGGACTCGCCTCTACACAACACAATCTCCCGCCATTATAGGTGCTGTGCTGCTAAACCTTCCCATTGTGATTTGAGAGGGCTCATTTTGCATCTTTTCGTATGCTGCTTCTGGATATCTCTGTACTTGACTATCTGAGGAGTTGACGCCATGTTTCCGCTTACCCTCCTCAAGTTCAAGTAGAAGATTGATTCCTACTACACTAATTGATGACGAAAGACGCAGGAGGACAAAGTGACTGACATAGCCCACAGAATCGCTAAAATCAAGTGGCAGTGGGCGGGGCACATATCTCGTAGAGCTGATGGCCGCTGGGGCAATTAAGTTTTTGAGTGGCGACCACGAGCCGGAAGACGCAGCGTGGGCAGGCCTCCCACTAGGTGGACCAACGATTTGGGGAAGGTCGCAGGAAGTGCCTGGATGCGAGCGGCGCAGGACGTCTTTCGGCTGAAACGAAAGAACTAACGCTAAGAAAGATGGCTAAGCTAAAGAAATAGCCAAAATGGACCCTCGTATAGCACTTGCATTTAATCTGATCACCATGAAGTCCATGGTCTTGACAATGACCACACTTAGTGAGAAGAACCTCGCAAGTCTCTTAACTTTGGAAATGATCCATAAGGCTGGCAAGTCGCCTAACGAATTCTCTTATCGCTCAATTAATCTGACATTTGTATTGATAAAATTATGTAAAAGGATCATTCTTGCTCGTTTATTCCCTTGCCTAAGTATGACCCATGTAATATAGTATACCCGACCATAAATTTTGGCAGAAACCATACCAACCATAATCAGTACAATGTTTGGAAAAGAAAGAATCCTGTACGTCTGCTTTCGCTGCGGCTTCAGCTGGGTTAATCATAAAGGACTACTCTATGAAATTAAAAAGTACCTTCTAGCACACTACTACTACCACCTGCTCATGGATTCTTATCTCAGTGACAGACAGTTTTAAATCAAACTCGGTGACAAAATCTTCTCTTTTTAGCTGCAGAGCTGGAGTACCCCAGGACTCTGTACTTGGTCCGATACTGTATAACATCTACTAGTAAAGTAGCCCAGACACCAGAAAGCTGCGGCCTTCCTCAAATGTAACTGTGATCTTAAAGCGACTAGACTGTTGCAATTTCAGCTGCTTGGCTGACCAAGTGGCGCATGTAATTAAGCCCCGAAGTCTCACCATATTATCATTTAAGACGTGAAACTTATCCTCCGGCCAATCTAGACCTCGACACATTGCTGCAATCAACCTGCTTTAAAATCCTGGACCGTAGGATGACATGGAAAGACCATAAATATAAATAAAACAGAACTGAATATAATATTCCACCGACAGTCAGCTAATCCAATATTAACTATGTGCCTCCAAAGGGCTCAAAAATACATGTTATGGGTACTTTTATCGGCACATTGGTACGCTCGCCTTTAGGAAATACACGAAACCTGATCTCAGCCAAACCCGCTATCTAAATATCAAAGTATCTATCTATGTAAACCACTGCTTTAGTGGCTCAAACCCCAAGCAACTGCAAATCACCCGATTAGTCTTGACGACAGATACTAAAAAAGCAGATTTAAAAAAAAAAAACCTAATGAACAAAGGTCAAACAAGGTCACGCCGCCGACGCCGCCGCCGTCGAGGTCAAAAAGTCGGCGCGCCGCCGCCGGCCAATTTTATATCGGCGCCCACCTCTAATTGGAACTGAAGAGACCCCTGGCGGCGCTGCTGTCGGCGCTGCGCGTCACGACCTGTATATAAAGGCGGGAGCGACCGTCTCTCGTCCATTTGCCCATCAGCCGCCGGAGAAGAAACATCAAGCCAGAAGCTCTGCCCGATTTACTTCCGATTTATTTTCGATTATTTTTGCAATAATTGTTTTTTTTAGTTTGGTTCGAATAAATTATTTTTTTAAAGTAAAAGTTGCGTTATTTATAAGAATATCATAAGAGAGTCATTCTTATTTATTTTTCCGTTAGTTGAAAGTTTCCAAGTTTATCATGACTGTAATTACCTATCTAAGCAAATATTTAGCATAATCTATTATTTCATTAAACAGATATTATAGGTGTTGTACTCAGTACATTAGTATAGAAATCATATTAGCCCAATCAAATAGTTCGATTTATAATTCGCTTGCATTATAATGTTAAAACTTTTGGAAAAGGCCAACTACGGTGCGTAGGTAATCTATNAATGGCGCGTTACGCGACATTCAAATCAATATAATACTAGGTATCTGTCTGCTATAGCTTACGGATGTATATTTATTTGTCTTTCGTCCAAAATGAGTCGAAATCAGTGATGAAATAAAATTAAATTATTGTACCTACATATTTTAAGTAATTAAATATTTAATTCTACTTTTTAAGATACCGCGAGTCCGTCCCGGCGACTACTATCCCAGTGATCCTGATGACCGGAAAGATTATGAACAGGTATGCTACGCTATAATAATTGAACCGACTATATTTTTTTGTTGCAATAGCCTATATTACAATGAGACAAGATGTCACTCACAGTGTTAAACTTGATGTGATACGTTTGTCTGTATTATTTTTTCAAAAAGAGTTTTAAAAATCTTATTGCTTTGCAGATCTTATCTCAATCAATAGTCAAAGTTGTGGTGCCAACAGAAAGGTAAGAGTTATGAAATAATTTATATGAATTCATTTTAAACAGTTAGAGCAGTGTTTTTCAACCTGTGGGTCGCCAAGCCTCTACGGTCGCGAGAGGTGGTTAAAACTACCTCAGTAAAATCATAAAATAAATGTTGTATGGATTTAAATATTCGATTCCTACAACATATTTGTAACATTATAAAATGCATGGAAAAAAAGTGAGCGGTCGGGGGGTCGCAAAATATTTTTTCATGCTAGGGGGGTCGCGTCATGTTGAAAAACACTGAGCAGTATCGTTCGTTCGTTTATTCTTCAGGAACTACATTATGTCGTTTTTGCTCTCCTGAATAATTTTACAAAAAAATATTCGCCCCCCTTTGCTGCGTCGGCGACGAATTGACTCACTTTAATTATTGCCTTAAATTGAAAATTTAGTTTTTAGAACCCTACAAAAAACACACACATTAGGGCGCTTTCAATTTGGACGTTTCGCGTCGGCCGTTTGTCTTGCAAGACCGCACGCAGTTGTCAAATTTTTAATTTACCGTGTGCGGTCCTGCAAACGCACGACAAACGTCTATAGAGAGTTACTCACCTGGTGTCCGTGGTTGCGCAAAGCTGCATACATTTTGTTGGTAGCCGGCGACTGGTTGCGCCGCCATGGTGTCCCGGAGAAATATAGCCCTAAGTGTGCGGGCACGAAACTGGCGACGGGCCGCGCAATGAGGGCTATCGTTTTTATACTTAACAGTTGGCACCCCTGGCGATTGACTGGACCTTACTCTACAGTGGCGCCATCTTGATGAGTGCAAATGCGATAGTCCTCCTACCACTTTCGCGCTCACCAGTTGGTGCCACTGTCTTCGCTACTAGCAAGTGACAGGACCTTACTCTACAGTGGCGCTAACTGGTGAGCGCTAAAACGATAGCCCTCATTGGGAGAGCGGCGCGGCGCGGCGCGGGGCGATGCGTACAACAACATGACAGTATATTATTATGGTGACGCGCACGGAACTGGCGGCGGCGGAGCGAGGCGATCGCAACATTAAGGNGGTCAGCTAGTATTAGTATAGATATAGATGACCCACGCTGAACTGTCCCACCAAACTCAATGACAGGAGGACGCTACCATCGTTCAACTATATGGTTTCCAACATGGCAAAAATCGGAACCAGCGATCCGGTATTGACGGTGGCGCCCCACTGTCAATGTCATGCATAGGACAGTTCAGTATTTTGGAACTATAGAACCAGTTATATGTCAAAATGTTTCCACAACTTAACACTCGATGGCGCTAGACGCAATACTTTCAAATATTTTGTTACAAAGAACAATACGCAATACTATTCCTCATCGCCGCCGGTCCGCGTCGCGTAGTCCCGCCAATCGCTCCGCTGTCGCCAGCTTCGTGCCCGCAGACTAATGTGTGTGTTTTTTTATTTAATAATTACGCCTTGCAATGATTGGTAAAGCCCGGTCTCTGAGCACGTAGAATTTTGTCCAATGACGCCAAGCTACCCATCCTTATCGCTCGCGCTATTGCTGTCACGCTCGCACACTAACTGCGAGCGCCCGTCGGGATGGTTAGCTTAGACAAAATTCTACGTGCTCGGCGACCAGACTATAAATAAATAAATATCCTTGGACATTTACACTGCGCTTCTAGTCCCAAACTAAGCAAAGCTTGTACTATGGGTACTAGACAACGGATATAAACATACTTAAATACTTTTTTTTTTGTAAATACATACTTATTATACATAGAAAACACCCAGTCCAATACAAACAAATAAGTTCATGCACACAAATGTTTGTACTGTGCGGGAATCGAACTCGCTACCTCCGGAATAGTAGTCCGTTTCGAACCACTACACCAAACGGCCGACAATAAACACTATCAAAATACTGCATCTCTTCCAGAAACATACTGATGCTGATCCACCGGATGGTGGAGTTCGTGATCCGGGAAGGCCCGATGTTCGAGGCCATCATCATGAACAAGGAGATGAGCAACCCGTTCTTCCGGTTCCTGTTCGAGAACCAGTCGCCGGCGCACGTGTATTACCGCTGGAAGCTGTACTCCATGCTGCAGGGCGACTCGCCCAAACAGTGGGCGCTCAACGACTTCCGCATGTTCAAAGGTACACTCGGCTCCTGCTCTAAGTGCTTGTTCACGTTGACTCGCGGGCGCAGTGGCGGGCGCGGTGACGAAATATCAAACATATGTAGTGATGCCAAGTGTTCACGTACGAAACGCACGTGCGGTCTAACTAGCGGGCAAGCTAGCGACTGGCGCGCGCGGAGCGCTCGCGGTAATTTCAACGCGTGAAGATGTTTGTGTGTGTTCATGTCAAACTAGCGGCGGCGCGCGCGTTTCACTCGCGACGTCAGGTAAGTTCAACCAGTTTGAACTTGTCGCTAGAAACGATAGTACGTCACACTCGCGCGAACGCCTGTTCGTCAATGTGAACACGAGCTCGCGACGTTTCCCGCGCCCGCGCCCGCGCGTGCCTACGTGAACAAGCACTTACACAGTCTCGGCTATGGTTGCCAGGAGTCCGGCTTTAGCCGCACATGTTTGCATTTTTACGGTCTTGTCCGGCCAAATAGTGGCTTGTCCGGCTTTTGTTAGGCTTATTATGTGACTGCCGTGCCAGGTGAAAGTTGAGCTACAGGATAATATCAAGCGCACGCATCAGGATGTTAGGCAACCGATGATGATAGTACTCACTCGTGTCGTGAGCTATGACACTAATGCATTGTCCGGCTTTTAGGGTAAAATGTCCGGCCAAATAAAACTCAGAGTCCGGCTTTTGTGTTTTTGGACCTGGCAACCCTAGTGCCGGCGCACGTGTATTATGTTTGTGTAAGTAGGTGCAACTGGGGCAGAAAAAAGGCTAAAAAACATTGTGTCGGAGTATTGATAGTGTCGCATTCGTGTGTATTTGGCATGAAGAATACACTCGGCGTCAAAGAAATCGCACAATTTTATAAAAGTTGGCTCGATCGTATCTACCTATCAAATGTATTATTAGCATTTGTTTATAGTGAAGTTTATGCACGTCGTTGCTTGCTTCTCTAACTGACGTATCTGAATTTTTTTTCGAAACTGAGTTATCTACGCTACGCAATCTTAATCAATTTTGCAAGACGAATCGATCTGTCTAATCGCCTTAAAAGGACATCATCCACGTTTCATATATTTTTGGTCCAAAATTAAAAGTGCCGGCCAACAAAAAAAAGTGCTGTATTCTGACAGAATACGTCTGCCTTAGCGTTTGTTACTATGGCACCAAAGCCGTAGCTCCACTGTGCGTCGAGTATTTGAGATCTAAAAGTCGTCGACTATTCATACATTTTTTGTTCAAAATCAAAAGTGTCGGCCAATAAAAAAAAAGTGCTATATTCTGACAGAATACGTCCGCCTTAGCATTTGTTACTACGGCACCAAAGCTGTAGCACCACTATGCGTCGAGTATTTGAGATCTAAAATTCATCGACGATTCATACATTTTTTGTTCAAAATCAAAAATGTCGGCCAATAAAAAATAAGTTTTTGGCCGGCACTTTTGATTTTTGGACCAAAATGGATGATGTCCTTTTGCTAAATGTCAGTTACGTCAGTTAGAGAGGCAAGCGACGACGTGTGCGCCTGGCTGATCGCTGTATTGTTGTGTTGGTTGCAGGCGGGTCGGTGTGGCGGCCGCCGGTCATGAACCTGTACACGGCGGGCATGCCGGACGAGCTGGTGGACGAGGACGACGCCAAGGACAACATCCGCGGCACGCTCTCCAACAAGTACGTACGCACCGAGCACGAGTAGCTCGTACCTGTAAATACAAATGAGTAGGTCATCGCGCACGCACACACTGACAAAATTTAGCGGGGATTAGCGGGGAGCCAGTTGTGGTTGCGCCGAATTTTGTCAGTGTGTGCGTGCGCGCCGCATACGTATCTTGGCGCGCTCACATACAAACCGCGCTCGGTGCGTTTCTATGAAGATGACCTTCTCATTTGTATTTACTCTGGTCGTACTCACTGCCTTTCCGAGCCACAGAATGAGGTTCATTTCGATTTTTAGTTGTTCATGCAGATTTATAGGGCTAACAAATCCTTAATATACATTATACAGTCCAAAAAATTTTGTTCTACGACAAAAATTGACGTAGTTATGGCCAAATTACTAAAAAGAGTGACGTCACGCGACATTTCAACTCAATGTAATACTGTGATTATTCGATTATTACAAAATTAAAAAATATGTCCCAGAATTTTTTTATTATCTATCTGACGGACTAAATAGAATTTCGATTTCATTACCCAGTCATTATCCCTATTCTTTATACAAATTAGAATCGGGCCCAACTATCGGCCGACTATAAGTCTAGTCTGCGGGGATTCTATGCGATTTTTTTTAAAGCCCGGTCTGTGAGCACGTAGAATTTTGTCCAATGACCCCAAGCTACCCATCGTTATCGCTCGCGCGTAGTTATGTTGCTGTCGCGCTCGCACACCCACTGCGGGCGCCCGTCGCACAATCGCGACAGCAATATAATTACGCGCGAGCGATAAGGATGGGTAGCTTGGGGTCATTGGACAAAATTCTACGTGCGCACGGACCGGGCTTTAGTTATTAGCCGGTTAGCCGAGTGTGTCGGTACAAAGGCGCGCACTCACTCGCTCTCCGCCTCGGCGACGGTTGCTCACGGACCAGGCTTTAGTCTGCGGGAAGTCTATGCGATTTTTTTTAAATCAATTTGTAACCTTTGCAGCCAGCGTGACCGTTTGGAAGAGCTCATCCGCGGGCTGACGCCGGCTCGCACCAGCGTGGGCGCCGCCATGGCCTGGTGCCTCGAGCACGCCGAGGCGGCCGGCGAGGTGACGTCATTACACTTGCTAATACTTATTACTTAATACTACCGTCATCGCCGGCGCGATCATAGGCCAATGGCAGTAGCCTTCTTCTTCTTCTTTTTTGATGATGTTGGCAATACACGTCGAGGTCGAGTTGATTTGTGCCATTTTCAAGTATACAGGGTGTCCCGTAATGTAACGTCAAGCCGGAACTGGGTGTTGAGGCAAGTTATGCTGGTTATCAGAAAAATAAAAAAAAAAATATATGTGGCATTTTGTCAAAATAATATGCATTTAAAAAAATCAAAAAATTCTACTCCCGGTGACGGTCTTCACTTTTTCCAAATGTTTTTTTTGTTATGTAACCCTGAATAAAGCTTTTCTAAATTGTTATCAAAATTACAAAACCAGCTGTTCCAACTTGGATGAAAAAAATACAATATTCCCCAAAAAAATATCAAAATAAAAATTTTGCCTAATTTAAACTGACTGTACTGAAAAAAAATTGTACTACGCGAGTGTGGCAAGTGACGTCATAATTTGGCGCATTTAGTAAGGATTCCAAAATGGTATAACACTTTGTAAAATCTTGGTGAAATTGTCGACAATTTTTGTTTATTGGAAATAATCCCGATTTTAACTTTATCTACCTTGGTTAAAAATATTATTCTAATGTGCCCAAAATTCCAGTTTCTGGCTTAAGTGAGGTGGAGAAGCCATTTCAAAAGGTATGAGCGGGACGGAGAGGGCCATCTTACCAAGCAGGGATGTTATGGATATCCGTAACCGTAACCGAAACTATCGGATATCCGAAATAAAAAAATGTCCATAACCGTAACCGAAACTGATTCAAAAGTTACGGATAGTTTCGGATAAAGGCGGAGTCTAAGGGTACAATTCCAAACTGCAAAACTCTATAAAATCTGCAGTATACACGCCGCAGCTGCAATGCCGCGCTACCGATTTCGTAGTTTTGCAGTTTGCGGTTGCAGTTTGCGGTCTGCGGCCCGTCTTGGAATTGTACCATAAATCTTAATATTTGTTACCAACTTGTCTGGCATTCGCTGGCACCATTTAATANCAGCGGGCACGCGGCCGGGTGAACGATACTCACTTGTTTTTAGAAGAAACCGAGAGGAATACTCATACGGCGATCGTCATTTATCTAACTCGCCAACGCCGTCAATTGTCTTTTACGTGAGGACGTTTATTGCAAAACAACATCGTCATCTCACCTGCCCATGGTTGACGAAGCCGTGCCTCCTCGCGAGTCTGTCCACGTGCTCCGGCCCAGCGGGCACGCAGCCGGGTGAACGATACTCACTTGTTTTTAGAAGAAACCGAGAGGAATACTCATACGGCGATCGTCATTTATCTAACTCGCCAACCGCCGGCGCCAAGCTCACCAACGCCAGCGCCTTCCGCAGCGCGTGAGTACTTACCTGAGTACCCGCCACCACTCATTACCTGAGTACCCGCCACCACTCACCTCTACCTGCTGTCCGACATCCTGCACAGCGCCGGCGCCAAGCTCACCAACGCCAGCGCCTTCCGCAGCGCGTGAGTACTTACCTGAGTACCCGCCACCACTCATTACCTGAGTACCCGCCACCACTCACCTCTACCTGCTGTCCGACATCCTGCACAGCGCCGGCGCCAAGCTCACCAACGCCAGCGCCTTCCGCAGCGCGTGAGTACTTACCTGAGTACCCGCCACCACTCATTACCTGAGTACCCGCCACCACTCACCTCTACCTGCTGTCCGACATCCTGCACAGCGCCGGCGCCAAGCTCACCAACGCCAGCGCCTTCCGCAGCGCGTGAGTACTTACCTGAGTACCCGCCACCACTCATTACCTGAGTACCCGCCACCACTCACCTCTACCTGCTGTCCGACATCCTGCACAGCGCCGGCGCCAAGCTCACCAACGCCAGCGCCTTCCGCAGCGCGTGAGTACTTACCTGAGTACCCGCCACCACTCATTACCTGAGTACCCGCCACCACTCACCTCTACCTGCTGTCCGACATCCTGCACAGCGCCGGCGCCAAGCTCACCAACGCCAGCGCCTTCCGCAGCGCGTGAGTACTTACCTGAGTACCCGCCACCACTCATTACCTGAGTACCCGCCACCACTCACCTCTACCTGCTGTCCGACATCCTGCACAGCGCCGGCGCCAAGCTCACCAACGCCAGCGCCTTCCGCAGCGCGTGAGTACTTACCTGAGTACCCGCCACCACTCATTACCTGAGTACCCGCCACCACTCACCTCTACCTGCTGTCCGACATCCTGCACAGCGCCGGCGCCAAGCTCACCAACGCCAGCGCCTTCCGCAGCGCGTGAGTACTTACCTGAGTACCCGCTGAGTATCTATAATAGAGTATAGAATAAACTGGATCTAATTAAATGTTTTCAGCTTACATTTAGTACAGCCACACAATATTTAATATCGTAGAACTGATTTATTGATCCTAAGGCCCAGAACAGACGGTGAAACGCAACTGCAACGAAACTGCAACTGCTAGTTACTTTTGAGTTGCATCTAAGTTTCTGCCATAGCGTCCGTTGAGAGACCACATATGACGCGACCAGATTGAAACTTTCAGTTTCAGTTTCATTCATCAGAATCATAACAAAGTTGCAGTTTCGTTGCAGTTGCATTTCACCGTCTGTTCTGGGCCTAAAAGTGCTTCACGAGCTCACACAAATGGTATCGATCTGTTACAGTCAACACTCATGATCGGTCAAAACCATTTTTGACTGCAAAGATCCGTCAAAAGTGCTTTCGCCTGATTAAGAGTAGGCGCACACCGTTGATTTTTCGTCGGCCGATAGTTTTAGTCGGGCTGTTGATCAGTATGGGCATGTATGGGAGTGTGCACACTACGCCGATTCGATTTGGCCGATTCTTCATACAATTTGAAATCGGGCACAACTATCGGCCAACTAAAAATCAACGGTGTGCGCTTACTCTGAAACTTCAAACAAAGTAATGATTTTACTTATATTTGCCTGACAAATACCTAGATTTCTTAAAAATATGATAAGAAGTATTACAGGTTCAAATCAGTCAAAAGTGATATTGACCAAGGGCAAACCACTTTTGACTGCAAAAATCAGTCAAAAATGGTTTTGACTGCAACAGATCTATCAAAAAATGAATGTTCCCAGTTTCCAGCCGCGCCTGGCGGACGTAATGCGTGCGTGCCACGCGGCGTGGCAGGCGCTGGCCTCGCGGCTGCAGCGCGAGGGGTTCCGCGCGCGCGTCACGCGCGTGCTTCAGGCGTGGGCCGACTGGGCCGTGTACCCCACCGACTTCCTGCTGCACATCAACGACGTCTTCCTCGGACAGGAGAAGGTGAGCCCGACCTTGTTTAAATATTAGGGGAGAGTTCGGTATATTGTACCGCCGGGTAAATTGTACCACCCTCATATTTCGTAAAGTATTTATTGAATGTCTGTAATTGCAACACTCAGCGATACACAACTAAATTCAATTAATATCGGCCATGTGGTTTTTGCCGTGACAACGAACACGTGTGTTTTATTTTGAAAAGTATTTTTTCATTGTTTTCAAGTAACTTTTGACAATGCATGTTTAGTTTATAATTTTGTTAAATTTAATCACAGGGTGTTTCTAATATATTATTAAGAAGCGTAAATTAGTGCGGATTACAATTATTTAAAACATTTTTCGGTATTTATATGCTATATTTTTTACCGATTTTTTAAAAGCACTATCACCTAGTCGGCTAAATTGTACCACATCAAGTTGTATGGAACTTTACCAAAGGATTTTGAATTTTTTTTAGTAAATCATATTTTGAAGTTATAATAGCGTAGTTATGTTTGACTAACAATAAATGAAAGCAAAAGACTGGCAAAGTAGATTAGGTACAAGTGTGCGTTACGATAATTGGAATTACAAAACTTTTACTTAAAATTGTGATAACGTGTAAAAGAATATCGATTGTCTATGTTATTAACTACTGTTCCTTTTCGTTACCTAATTTGTTAAGGATGTATCGTATAATGTTTTGCCATAGTTTTTTTATAGGCTTGAAATTTATTGAAATCCAATTTAGTAACCTGTGGTACAAATTATCGAACCGGTTGGCTAAATTGGACCGAAGCTCTGAACTCGTATTTTGTTGATTTGTGCTAAATATACAACAATTGTGTTGATTAATACCTATGAAACAGTAAGTTCAATAATTTCTTTCTAATTATATACCATGAACATTAGCAATAACAAAAGAAAACTATGTGTAAAATGGGATTGAAAAAAACTGGTCCAAATTACCGGACTCTCCCTTATGTATTTATCGCAATCCATACTAATATTATAAAGCTGAAGAGTTTGTTTGTCTGTTTGTTTATTTAACGCGCTATCTCAGGAACTACTGGTCCAATTTGAAAAATTATTTCAGTGTTAGAAAGCCCATATATCGAGGAAGGCTCTAGGCTATATACCATCATGCTACGAGTAATAGGACCAGAGCAACAATGAAAAATGTTGCCAAAACGAGTTTTTACGCGTACAAGGTCGCAGGCACAGCTAGTATTAAATAAAGGCCGTAGCAAATAAGGACCGTAAAGAGGCCCAAGTAAACATCGATGTTTACTTGGGCCTCTTTACTCCTCCGACGACCCAGGACTGAGGACGGAGACACATGATACGGAGGGCCGACCCCAAATAAAATAGGAATGGGCCAAGCAAAGATGAAGATTTATTGCAATAAAAAACAGTCTGTACAGTGTAGTGTTAGTCTCAAAATCTAAGTAATTTTCACTATAGTACTTTGTATGAATTTTGATTATATTTTTCAGTTAAACAAAAGTGGCTACTTTTGATTTTTGTACTTTAAAGTGGTTTCGACTGTAACATATACAGGGTAGAATTTTGTAATGCCACCTGGAGGGAAACCTCTTTTCATACTGTATAGCCTGACCAGGAACATAAAAACCCTGGCATAGAGGCGCGTCAATTGCATTTGATAGTGCAACACTGGGTACAGTCGTACCTGTGTTAAATTAATAGGCTAACTTTATGTATCAGGATTCAGGATTATGGGCTAATTTAATATTTTCATAAAGTAACAAAAAATATTATAAAACAGGTAAACTGGTTTAAATAAATTAAATGAAACCTTCGATCGAGCAAGTAGGATTTTATTATTATTCATCAATAATCAAATTCTAAACTTTCATATTCAACTACAATGTCTGCTCATGAACGCTTCAAACTCGGTACTTCTTTCCCAATTCCATAAAATTCAACACTTACAAAGTGACAAAAAACTTTAAAATAGGTGGTTGAAACAAACCACAGCAAATTTTCATAGTTGACTGTACTATACGACAAACATGTCAGTCAATTTGACAACCTTTGTCGGAAACATTATTCAATGAAAATATTGTCCGAACCCTTAGTACTTCTCTTCGACAAATACTTTTACACATTGTGTGTGAACCACTTTTCTTTCACGACTATAAAATATTTTAGCAATTTAATTCACAAAATCAATTGCGCACATTTATTATAAAGTTTGTTTACACTTTGACAACAATAGACTGACTTGTAAGGTGACATGTCAATGAAGTTTTCAGTTACTGTTGCCATTAAAAGAAATTAGTACCATTAATTTTCCGCAACATGGCGAGGGTTTTTATGTTCCTGGTCAGGCTATAGATAGAAAATTTTACTCAAAGAAAACATTCCTTTATTTTTTAAAATAAATAAAATTGCATTAAAAGATTTCCAAAAAAGCTTGCCACGCCCAGGAATTGAACCGACTAAAATCTGTTAAAAATTAAACCCTGTATATGTCAACGTGAAATTGTGAACTCTGTCAGTTTATAATATAACGCATTAGATTGTAAACTAACAGTGGGTTAGGTTAGGTTAGGTTGTAATTTAACTACGTCAGATTATAATCTGACGTAATTTAACTACGTCAGATTATAATCTGACGAAATTCACAATTTTACGGTGACATAATACATACTAACCCCCGTCTCTTGCTTGACCCGCCGTATCGTCCGCAGGAGATAGCCGCCTCGGCCGGCGCCGCGGGAGAGGCGGCGGCGTCGCCGGCGCGATCGTCTTCATCCGAGGAGTGGGAGGGCGGCGGCGGCGCCGGGCCGCTGGATGGCGCCGCGCTCCGCCGGTTGGCTGCCGGCCGGCGCCTGCCCGCCGCGCCCGCGCCGCGCCCAGCTGACCCAGACATCGACGGCGTGCCAGGTCAGTCGCATCGTTGCGATCGATCACAGGTCTTCGACCTTCTTGGCCGGTTCGGGCGTCGAGCTTGTGCTCATGGCCCGTGCAGCATCTCGACTAGCTACTGCCAGTCGGTGGTTTTGTCGTCGCTTCGGCGACGGACTGCCTGGGCTTCTACCTGGCACCACTGTCCCGCCCTCGGCGCGGTACCAGCCCACCGGGTGAGTCGACGTTGGTCGAGGCCCAGTGAACGACCAGCGAGCGGGCGGTTTTTGGATGCCAGGGAGCTTTCAGGCAGTCATATGTTTGCAGTAGGTGTTGGTGCTGTGTTCTCTTAATGCGGGCGTTGGGCCGTCACTATTCTGAAGCGTGGCTTCGGTGCTGTGACGGCTGGTGCGGAGACGGGTCTCGCAGGCGCCGCAGGCTGGGTGGTGTCGGCGTCCTCTGCTTCTGGCAGCAGGAGGTCCCGGGGGAGGGGGCGGTTGCCCGGGGGGCGGGCTGGTGTAGGCGCGATGTTGTGGAGATGGCAGTGGGGGCCGTTGTCCGCGCGGTCATACATGACCCGCGCCAGGCGCGTGATGAACTCCTCCACTGTCTCCACGTTGATGTCCCGGGCAATGACGTCATTGCGGACGTATCGCCCCGCCCCGGTGATGACGCGGAGGGACACGTTCTGCTGCGCCTGGATCTTCTCCTTGTTGGTTCGGGAGATGAGGGGGTACCACGCTGGGGCCGCGTAGGTGAGGCGCGACCGGACATACGTCTTGTAGACCATCAGTTTGGTCCTCAAGGGGAGCCGCGAGCTGAGCACCGGGCGCAGGATGGCGCGCGCGATTTGGGCCTGGCGAACCACATGGGTCACCTGTGGCCCCATGCGCAGCGAGCGGTCGATGCGGCACCCGAGGTAGGTAACCGTGGTCTCCCAAGCGATGTCCTGGTCACGTAGTGTGAGGTGTGGCGGTGGTTTCCCCGACCCGAACGCTATGGCGGCGGTCTTGCCCACATTGACCGCGATTCGCCAGCGGTCTAGCCAGGGGGGCAGCAGGTCGAGAAGGCGCTGCATCCTCGCAGTCGCCACGTTCACGCTGCGCGATGATGAAATGAAGGCGCTGTCGTCGGCAAACAACGCTAACGCCACATCCCGTTCTCCCTCTCGAAGATGGTCGCGGAGGGTGGGGATGTCGTTGGTGTAAGTGGCGTATAGCGTCGGCGACAGACAGCTGCCTTGGGGAACGCCTGCCCTGATGCTGCGCGGCTGGGAGGCCTCTCCCTCTACGACCACGGTGAACGTGCGGTCGCGGAGGAACGAGGCGATCAGGTGCACCAGCGCAGGAGGGAGCAGCGGCTTGAGCTTGTACAGCAGGCCGACATGCCAGACCCGGTCGAAGGCCTTCTCGACGTCGAGGAACACCCCGACGGAGCGGTGGCCCTGGTTCTTCTCGTCGGCCAGCATGTGCAACACCCTTACCAGCTGCAGTGTGGTGGAGTGGCCGCTGCGGAATCCGAATTGCTCGTCTCTCAACGGGACGAGCGGGCGGACTCGGCGCAGCAGCAGGCGTTCGAAGAGCCCCCCCTCAAACTTCTAAAATAAGAAAATGAAAAATCTAAAAAAAACATATGGTGTACATTACTATAAAAACTACCAACGAAAATTGTTTTGAACGAGATCTAGTAAGTAGTTTTTTTTTAATACCTCGTAAATCGTAAACCGCTTATTACCGCGTAATCTTTCATACTAATAACTTAAATAAAAAATAATAATTTTAATTTCATAAATCAATGGTACGGAACCCTCGGTGCGCGAGTCCGACTCGCACTTGGCCGGTTTTTTTAATAATACAATGCTTAAATTAGTGGATTATAAAAAATCTTAAAAAAGTACTCGATTTATACAAAACATCGATGTTTTCTTCCAATACATCGAAAGAAATCGATGTACAGTTTCAATATATCGAATCGAAAAAAACATCGATGTTTTTTCAAAGTGGACACCCCTATTTATTGCAAAACAACATCGTCATCTCACCTGCCCATGGTTGACGAAGCCGTGCCTCCTCGCGAGTCTGTCCACGTGCTCCGGCCCAGCGGGCACGCAGCCGGGTGAACGATACTCACTTGTTTTTAGAAGAAACCGAGAGGAATACTCATACGGCGATCGTCATTTATCTAACTCGCCAACATACATACATTGATTCTAAAACAATACAAGATCAGCGTCTCACCTGCCCATGGTTGACGAAGCCGTGCCTCCTCGCGAGGCTATCCACGTGCTCTGGTCCAGCCGGCACGTGCACCGCGAACTGATTGTGGTACACCGCCTCCGGCAGCGCGGCGCACAGCGGCAGCGCGGCCAGCAGCGCCAGCGCGCGCCATGCCGTCACCATGACAACGGGGTGCGTCACGAGCGCGCGCGCATCGGTCGCGACGCGGCCGGGTGAACGCGTTGCTATGATACAACGCGGGCGTCTGTGTACGAGCACTGTGGCATCCCACCTCGCGTTACCTGAAAAGGAGAGCTAAAATTAGATTGGGTTCAGCTTCTTGAAATAACATCGGTAATTTAAACGGAGGTGATAAAAACGATGAACAAATAAATTGGGCCACCTACAAGTTTACCGATAGTACGGAGTTCATGATGTTTATGTATAAACATAAAAAGACGATGTGTGTGTGCAGCGAGCTTGTGGCGTATTTTCATAAACAAATTAGACCCTCCCGATATTCGGTTTATCGTGACCGACCAAGATGGTCGATTAAACACTGCAGTGCAGTGAAATTCAAGAGTTGTTAAACTAAGTTTATCCCTATTTCAGCAGCTTCATAACTCGGTTGCCATATAGGGACGGCAAACTTAAAGTTATGTCGCTAGCTCGCAGTTCTCTGTAAATTTTACATTCAAATGAACCAAAAATAAAACAAAAGTTTATTTCAAAAATAAAACAAAAGTTTATTTCAAAAATAAAACAATTGAGATTATAACTTGATAAAAGCTGAGTAGGTACTACATACATGCATTTACATAACGTCTTGAACTCAATCTAATTGAGACGTCTAATAAAACCGAGCAAACTTTAAGAACTAACACTGAACCTTCCCAGTCTGTAATAGTAAGTGTGTTATGTATAATTCTTTGTCCAAACAACGGGAGGCTGTTTATTCAGCCTCAAGTTTCGGGTCCAAAGGAGGGCTATAAATACAAGGGAAATTTAGGGCACGTTAAACATATTTGCAGGAGGGCCTCGCGCAAATCACGCCGGAGAGAACGCAATAAGCGGTCGAAAACGCGAACAAGTTAAAAAAATCCTCACCAAATCCGCAGATAATCCTGATAAGCCACGCGGGCAAAGTATAAAAAGCCTGACCGTGAATATATCAAGAATATTTATGAAATTTTATTTGGAAATTTATCTGACGTCCGCAGTGAAAGTAAAACCTTTGAACGGAATTCTTTGTGTTGTCCGCCGCCGGTTCGTGAGATTATTTCGGATGTCCTTGTGAATATTTTAAAGAGCACTTAGAGATAAAATCGCGGGCGAGTTATCCATTCCGTATTCTACCTGATCAATTATACAATCATCGTTTTTATCTGGGGCCCTTGTAAGCTGTCATTAAAACGTTTTCGCTGATGAAAATATTATATTTTTGTATAATTAATACATAATAACATTAGAAATATAATTTACATTCAAATCATATCATTATCATTAAAGAAGTAAAATTCTTAGACTTTTTAATGTACCAAGGGTCAAATTAGCTGAAATTATTTCTTACTATGTAAATTAAATTGGGAAAATTTATAATTTTGTGTCATGAGACAGCTAAAAGGGCGAATTGTCCTTATCTCTGCACTAAGAAAGATGTTATCACGTCAAATCTTTAGACTAAAATTTTAGTTATTTAAATATACATAGAGTTTGAGGATTAACTTAAGTACTCGTATATTTAACTACCTGCTTAAACAACTAAACATAAACTTTATAATTGTTTGACATAGACTCAAGGAACTTTAGTACCTTTCCTAGTTATTCATGTATGTATTATTGTCTGAACAAAAACTAAGTAATGCGGGCACTGGCCCATTTATTGTCCCGAAGCAGTGGTAGGGTTAAAACTGGGACGTGTAAAAGTGCTTTTTAAAAGCCTTTTTGCAAAAATAAATTAGTTTTACGAGTTTTTTTTAGTAACATTGCTAACTAAATCTGAAAATCTGCATTACATATTTTTTATACTTTTAAATAAGCTTTTATTAAGATTGAACGATAGCATAAAAATAGCAGCACAATTATTTTAAAATATTTCCAGCTTGAAAGATTTTCCGTTGCTATTAAGGCATATTGCATGGTTCCATTAGTGCGGAAGTCGACAAATAAGCCTCTCGTACACGCGATTGGTTTATTACAAAAGCATTTTAACCCTTTCAGAATTAATAACGGTAAATATAACCCTAATGCGCTTAAGAACTAGCAATTTCAGTTTGCATTGTATTTAGGTGTATAAAGGTTTAATTCTATTTAAAGTTTAACAAGTGTTAAAGTGTGCAGATGTTTATCATGACTAAAAAGATAAGCAAAACAATTGGATTTTGAAACTAATTGTAATGCCTAACAAGCTCTATTTTATTTACAGTTTATGGCTGGTTTTAGTGTCACGCGTACTGTCAGTGTGGATCTATATAAAAATTCAAAATCTTTCCAGTCCTTTATGAAGACTATTAAACTTCTCAGTTAAAAGACAGTTCAAAAGCAGTTTTTATAACCAAAGTTGTTCAAAAAAGTAACATACTGCGAACTTAGCCGTCCAACTTGGTCAGAACTTGGTAACTTCGTAAGCACCGCAAACGCGCGGTCAAGGCGCCGGTGTAGTATGGGCGCAACGTTGACCTCAAGTGTTTGCCTCGTATGTAATCCTTTAACACTATGAGCTCTACTAACTTTCTATTATATTATTATTATTGTCATTGTTTTCTTTTTCGTAACGTTCAGCGATTAAACGCATCTCTTTGAGTGATTAGAACTATCGCGGAATTCTCAGATTGCTGTCAAGCTTAGAAAAGTTAAACCGCGTCCAACTGTCTATTTAAAGTTTAAACATCCGCAATCCAGCATTACAAAAGTCCACTGATGAAGATGGAAACCTATGCCAGAGATCTTAAAAACGACAATCATTCTGATGTTCTATGTTGTGTACTGACGCGATATGATTTTTGATTAAAAAAAAATACCCTTTTGCAGGCCATTTTGTCTGTCACAA